TCTTTCTTTCTTTCTTTCTTTCTTTCTTTCTTTCTTTCTTTCTTTCTCTCTCTCTCTCTCTCTCTCTCTCTCTTTCTTTCTTTCTTTCTTTCTTTCTTTCTTTCTCTCTTTCTCTCTCTCTCTCTCTCTTTCCCCTCTTCCTTCTTTCCTTTCTTCCCCTTCTCTCCCTTCTTTCTTTCCTTGAGCTAACCAAGGAAGGCACTTTTGAAGAAGCATAGTTTGAAGTGTTAAACAGTTGATTTATGCAGGGTAGCAGTTTCGAACTACCTATGATGCTTTTGTTTCTGTCATTTCCATAAAGCTGTCATCAGTGACAATTAAATATAATCAGCTTGATACCACAAGATAATATGTTGTTGTTGTTTTTTCTGTGTTCCTGTGTTTATTTGAAGAAGACTGGGTGTAATTGGTGTAGCTAACATTTAGCGGTTCTTGTAGTAGTCCAGATGAGCAAAACAGGTGGTAATTCAGGGGGTTGGATGTTGGTGCCCTCTCGTGGACACAAAGCGAAACTTGCTTTTACAAAGTTTAATATGGATGCAATCCGTACGCGTTCTCTTGATTTCTGCACTGAGAGGCAGCTATTAACTTTCCCATCAGTTTTCTGGGGATCGCAGGTTACACCTGAATAGCTTTGGGCACTAGCTGATGGCTCCCTGACATCTATTAAAATCTTTTTTTTATTGCTACAATTAAAGAAATGTATATATTCTTTAGATAGAGGTCCTGAAAGAGTAGTTTATGATAAAAGCAACTCTTGAATGCTCTAGTCTAGCACAAGTAAGGGTTTTGCATATAAAGAGCTTAATTTTATGCGCCGCTGTTTACATGTTATGCACTTTTTTTTAAAAAAATGGATTATAGAGGAATTTGCAAACTCATTCGCACAGTTCATAGTTAGGCAACCCTTTTCTTAGTTCAACTGAACTGCTGCTAAAAGGTATACAAGTTTCTAAGATCTCTAGGAATAGTCAGGCTAAACATATGAGAAAAAAAGTAAACAAGAAATTGCTGTTTAAAGCACTTTTCCCTTAAACCAATTTCTTGAGCTTTTGTGCTAATAGCCTTGCGCTATTATCTTTCACTAGGTCAGTGTTTCTTTCAGATATGTGGACTTCAGTTCCCAGAATTCCCCAGTCAACAGGCCCACACAAAGTTGCTGAGACCGGCTTAAGACTGCTCTTAAGTTCAGCTACCTGCCCGAGCCTCCTTAACAGCTCGGTCGTCCGTCTCAGTTTTACCTTGTGTGTCTAGTTTGGTCTGTCCAAACTAATCTCCCCTCCTGCCTTCTGGCTTCACACAGCAACAAGGTTTTCTTCCAGAATTCTCTCTCTCTCTTGGTGCATCGCAAACCTGTTGATCCACGACTGAAGGTTATGAATGATTCTCCTGGAAGGCTTTGCGGGGAAAAAAACACTTTACATTCAAGAAGGGAGAGGCTCCTGACATGGACTATGCATGACGGTATCGTGTCACTTCGAGTACCGGAGGCCACTGCTGAGAAGCGTAAGTGGTGTGTTCATTTGTGAGCTTCTCAGAAACAGCTAGTTGGCCACCATGGGGCAAGTGAAACCTGGATTAAATGAGGTTTATTTTTTCCCCTGATCCAGCACATCTGTCTACTCTTCAAAATGTTTTTCTAACGAATGCTTCTCCGCCCAACTTTTATTTTCAGTTGCCTTTCTTTGAAGTGAACGGCAGAGGCCCCAGAACCACGTGAAGGCTGCCGGCAGAGGTGTCAAACCACATCCCTGCCTTGGTCTCCCGAAACTTGTTGGTCCTGCCTTTCTTCGCTCACCTTTTTCCCGATCCAGGAGTGGCAGCTGGACTCTTTGAGATTTCGTAGCTGGCGGTTTCACCTTCCTGCATGCCCATCGCAAGGTAAGATCTCCTAACCCTTGGTGGGACCCGGTGAACGCGGGGAGCTTTGGAGCAGGTTTCATTTCTGAACAGGAACGTTAAGGCAAAGCTTTGAGGAGAAAAGATTTACCTTTCCCGATCAGGGAAGCGAAGCAAAATCTCTTGAAGTAAAAGACGTATCTCTGGGGAATGAATGCTGGATTTATTGGGGGGGGGGGGGGGGTTCTCAAAGTTTGCCTGTTTGTTTTCTTGCAGTCGTTCCATTATCCAAACTAACGTTATCACTGCTGATGATGTTACCTAGTTTGGTCAATGAAACGTGGGCAAAAAAAACCAACCGAGCTCAGAGAGGTCCAAGGAGCCCTCCCGTCAACCCCGAGCCGCAAAAATATTCCCCTTTCTTGGATTTATTGCCTGCTGCTGAGTGTTTTGGTGGCGTCAGCTTGTTTGTTGGAAGCGATCATGGGGTCTAAATATATATATATATATATATTTTTGATGCAGATATTCAGACGCACCTGGAACTTTGTGTTCGGGTGGGAGGAAGGTCAGAAACGGCCTTTGGCATGACGGTCTGGATGCATTCGGTGTTTTGCCAAGCGCTGGGTTTTTTGTTTTTTTTTCAAGCAGGATGTTTGCCTTCCCTTTCAGAGCTAAGCATCGACTCTGTCCGCCATTTTGCCCGCTGATAGAGGCACGTGGACTCAGGTCTCCCTTGCAGCCCAGGTGCGAGCTCCGCTAGGGCAGGCGTTGAAAAGGAAGAGGCCGCTTGGGAGGGGAAACTTTCTCCTGAAGCACCTTCCCTGGACGCTGCACATTTTTAATTGAGCTGCAGGTGTGTACGTATGATTACTTCTCTGAACGGTGGGAGCTTTCAAGAGTGTTGAGCTTACGGGGTTAATTGCCTGTGGAAGGAGGCCAGGCGGCATCTATTATCCACTGTAATGTGTATGGTTAATATTTATTCACAAATACGTTGGTGGTTTCAAATCGAATTAAAGGACCTCGGTGCTCTCTGGACTTGGTTGTTTTCATTTCATTACCCAAACTGGTAACAGATCCACTGATGTAGCCTTGTTTGGATCATGAAACGTCTGCAAGAAAATAGCTAAGCTCAGAGAGCACCAAGGACCCCACAGTTTTCCTCCTCCTCCTCCTCCCTGCATTGGGTAATGGAACCTCTACAAGCTCAGAGAGCACCAAGGACCCCACAGTTTTCCTCCTCCTCCTCTTCCTTCTCCTCCTCCTCCTCCTCCTCCTTCCTGCATTGGGTAATGAAACATCTACAAGCTCAGAGAGCACCAAAGACCTTTCATTTCAACCCTGAGCTACAAATATTGTCCTCTATTGATCGTTAGAATTCTTCAGTCATACCAGATGGATTTGGGGAGAGCTGTCTCCTTTCCCAAGGGTAGCAAGTTTTACTTCATCCCATGATAGCAAATTATTTATTTACTTGTCCCAATAATTCACTCCTTCCTCCTGTTTAGTTTACCTGGGCCACGGACGTGTCTTTGGCCGCTGCTATTGTCTCTCCACCTGCGAACACCTGGAGTTCAACCTGTTTGATGTCTTCTGTTTCTCCAGGAGATCGTTCAGAGACCGTCCCTCCGAAGAAAACCAGTCTGGGAAGTTTGATCAGGAGAAGAGGGCTTGGGGATTAACCAGAGTCTTGTGGGAATGAACGATGACGGAGACCATGGTTGACGCCAGCAAGGAGCACATGGGAGCGGGGTCTCAGTAAGGAGAGGGTCTGCGTGTCAAGGAAGAGGAATGTCCGTTTGCCCAGCCGGTTATGCGGAGAGCTTGTAGTCCAGCGTTTCTCGGCCTCAACCGCTTTTTAAGACGCGTGGATTTCAACGCCCAGAATTCCTGCAAGGAGATGAGAGGAAATGCTGGGGATTGAAGTCCATACAAGGCCAAAGTTGAGAAACCTGGCAGGACATCCAAGGAAATCCTTGTGCCACTTCTAAACCATGTTTGATCTTGTGTAGCGCCTAGCTGATTGGCTAAACAGCTCCTCTGATCCAGGAGTAAAATTTTGGCTGGATTCCCCCATAGGAAGTGGGGTTGACGGCTAGGCAGTTCCGACCCATTGACAGCTAAGCAGTTCTGGTGACGGCTTCTTTTAAGCCACTGACTTATCCCAGGAAAAAGCCAGATCACCTCTTCGGTTGACTTCCTTTGCCGCGTTAGATTGATTGATCGATTCGTTTGGGAAATTTATATTGCCGCCTATTCATTCATGGCGACTTACGGGAAATAAAAACAACATAAAAAAAGAGAATAATGATAAAAATTAAAAAAAAATGATAAAAGAACGGTGGTTTGTTTTACAACCATTTGTCTAAAATGCTATAGGCTTTCCTGCCTGACCAGGGGGTTGGACTAGTAGACCTTCAGGGTCCCTTCCGGCTCTTTGATTCCGTTCTTCTATGTCGTTGAATAAATTACAGTTGGCTGGTTCCCACAACCAGCTGAGCCGTAAATTCTGCTCTAGCAATGGCAGGAGCTGGGCTCATTTAATAAAACCAACCCGTGCTAGGACTTGGGACCTCGGGCGAATCCCACCCGTGGTCAAAATGTGTTTATTATTTATTTATTTATTGGATTTATATACTGTCCTTCCTACTCTGTGTATTACATTAAAGTTTGCATACGAGAACTGGAGGGCTTTTGGCAGCGCAAAATCAGTTGGTCTCTTTTGTTTGTGACTTCTCTTTCGTAGGTCGGAGGAAACGGCAGGGCGAAAACCCAGCAGTCGCCTCCCACTTCTGGACAGGCTCTCGGCCACGCGTGGCATTTGGGAGCTTCTGGATGTCCAGCCAGATCAAATCGAGAGGCTGCTCTCGTCACACCAACCAGGGGTGACTGACTAATTCTTTTTAAAGAAATTTGCTCGGGGTTTCTTTCCTGCAAAACTGATCTGTTCAGTTCTGTTGAGATTGGGCCAATTGCAGAAGAGCCTTTGACCTGGTTCCGCTGGCTGGCCTGGCACCCTGATAGGGGCACCCTAGGCCAGCAGACGGGGTATAGAGAAGATAATGTCTCCATGTCACCCATCCTTTTGTTGTTGTTTTTTTTAGTTCCCTGTTTAATCCTCTTAATTTTAATCACTTATTACCTTTTTTTATTATATTGTAAGCCTCCCAGAGGGACGCGGTGTGAGAGAAATGGGTATTTAGGAGGTGGTGATGGTTTGGCTTTGGGATGTGATTTTCCAGCAACCCTGCTGTCTCCATTTTTTACCTGTTTCAGTCATTCATCGTTGCTAGAAATGGGAACGCCGCCGCCAAAACACTTTTCCTCCGTTTACCTGAAAGTGACAATAAGATGGTTGACCTTTTTCCTCTTGAAGACCATCCAGGTGAGTTGGTTTCTATCCCTGGGAGATGAACAGAGACACCTGGTAATCTCACGGAACAATGCAACATTAAGCGGTATACTCAAACCAGCGCTAAAAACATCTTCAGACAGTCTTAACGTTAGGAGAGAATTAAAATATGGAGATTCTCAGTCACTCAGGTCAGGGTTGTCCCAAAAATGCTTTTTCAAAAGGCAACTAAACTTTCTTGTTTTTTCTTTAAAGACATTTCGCTTCTCATCCAAGAAGGCTTCAAATGGTATGGAAATATGAATGGATTTCCAAAACAGTTGCAGACTACAGGAATCATTTGCACGACTCAGGTGATCCTGAGGTCATAGATAAACCTCCAAGTGGCCTCAACAGCTCTCTAAAAGGATGCAAATGACCAGCTACCTGCAAGGAATATAAATCCTTCCATTCCCTACCATCCACTCAGAGCCAAAGAAGCCTCTTGGATGAGAAGCGAAACGACTTCAAAGAAAAAACAAGTCCAATTGCCTCCTGAAAAAGCACTTTTGGGTTGAAAGAGAATATTTGCAGCTCAGGGTTAAACAGTGGGGTCCTTGGTGCTTTCTGAGGTGGGTAGTTTTCTTGCAGACGTTTCATTACCAAATTAAGTAACATCACCACGCTGATGATGTTCCCTAGTTTGGCAATGAAAGGTCTGTCCACAAAACTACCCACCTCAGAAAGCACCGAGGACCTCACAGTCTTCACATTTACGATGGAAAGATGTTTGCTTTTCTTTCTCACGTATGCATGCATGAATGTCTAAGCTTCCAGGATCCTAGAGCTGTACATGTAGAGGAGAATGGTACCCCTTCCTTTCCCTTCTCTGGAGCCCCCCATAATCTCACCTCCCTTGCTGGATCTCATAATGAGAATCAGAAGTGTGGGAAATAGGAAATGTCCAGGCTTTGAGCTACCGTTCTTCACTTCCTTGCACCAACCGGTTACTGGACCTCAACATTCATCACGTCTCTTCTGGGGAATTTCAAAACATCATTTCCTTCTATTTAAAAGAGGAAGTAGTTTGGAGAAGCACAGAAGGACCAGTTGTCACAGGCTGCACGCTCGACTTGTTAACTGGCAACCTCCTTACATTCTTGACCGAGTGGGTGGCCGTTACTTCCGTCTTTTTCCCACCGTTCTCTGCCTCTCGCTCTGTTCTCATCTTGCTTCCCCTGAATTTGATGTTCCCCATCTCTGAACAGGTGAGGAATTCTTCCTTGGGTTAAATAATGTGGTTTTTAATCCTACCTTGCTTCTAGGAAAAACGGGGCGACGTCAACAGGTGGCTTCTGTCTCTCTCTCTCTCTCTCTCTCTCTTCTTTCTCTCTGCGCAACGGGGAAGATTCCTGCCCAAGTAAACTTAAGGAAATGCACAAGGGGGCGAGGGAGAAAAATACCTCTCCCATCCAAAAGAAGAAAGCCAGGGCTCTCCCATCAGGGGTCTCCATTCCTGGCAACTTTGAAGACTTGTGGAAGACTTCAACTCCCAGAATTCCCAGAGGCTGGCTGGGGAATTTGGGGAGTCGACGTCCACAAGTCTTCAAAGTTGCCAAGATTGGATACCTCTGCTCTGCATAAGAACTGGAAAGAACTTCCAGAACTTTTTTCTTGCAGAGTTACCTAAATCTTGCAAAACCCAGGGGTTGGAGTGATGCCAAGGGGGCAGCCCTGTATATCTTTGGGCACCAGTTGAAAATATCAGGCTGGTTTTCTGGCTTTTCAAAATGGTGCTAATTATACCAGGGTAAACTTGCCTCCAGGTTGTTTCTTTAAAGTCTTCTTCTTCTTCTTCTTCTTGTGCCCTATCGGTCACCGGATCTTGGCGATTCTATTTTTATCAACACCCACACGAAAAAGTGCTGTAAACTATACCCACATTTCTTTATTTGCGTCCCCTCTTCGGTGTGTTTTTACAAATATTTCAAGGCAGCCAGCATATCCCTCCCATCTTCCTCCTCCTCCTCCTCCTCCTCCTCTTCCCCACAACAACAACAACCATGTAAGGCGGGTGCATTTACAATTCTGCTTGCCGTACCTCAAGAAGGACGCACAACAGCAGAGCTGGGAAAGATTGGGAGAAGGGGCAACTGAGAATGGTCAAGGGGCTGGCATGGCTTCCTTGCGAGGAAAGGTTGCAACGTTAAGGGCTTTGTAGTCCTTTAAAAGAGGCGAAAGAGAGGGGTCAGGGCAGAGGTACAAAACCCCGATGTGGATAAATTGTATAAAAGCAGGTGGTCTTAAAACTTGGCCACTTTCATTGTTAAAAAAAATCATTTGACTATACTTTTATTCATTCATACTTTATGAGATAACTATAATTTAAGTAATTTATTCTATAACAAATCATATAATCAGGCCAATTCTATCCTAAAAAAAAAACACTTTATAGATATATTATCTAATAACAAAAGAAAAAGAAAAAACAAGAATATTCCTTATTATCTAAAATTCTAAGTATTCTATTGTCATATTTCATCATCTAACCATTGATAGAAAAGGTCCCAAATTTTATAAAATAGTTTATCTTCTTGCTCTCTAACTTCAAATGTCAATCTACTCATCTCAGCACATTCCAATATTTTCTTAATAATTTCTTCCTGCAATGGAATTTGTGGACTTGTGGACTTCAACTCCCAGAATCCCCCAGCCAGCTGTCCCTGCTTTTTCTCTCTCTCAATCTCCTCAACTGGAGAGAGATTGCAGAGGAAGGGCTCGCAAGAGAGTAAGCTCTGCTGGCTGGAGAATTCTGGGAGTTGAAGTCCCCCAGTCTTAAAGTTGGCCAAGTTTGGAGATCCCTGGTATAAAGAGACTAGATTCCCGTTCTCTAAATACAAGTAGTTCGTTTAGTGACCACTCAAAGTTACAATGGCCCTGAAAAAAGTGAGTTTACGATCTTTTTTCACACTTACGACTGCGCGGCATCCTCACGATCATGTGGTCAAAATTCAGGCCCTTGGCAGCTGATTCATATTTATGACGGTTGAGTGTCCTGGGGGGGGGGGGGGTCACCTTTTGTGGCCTTCTGACAACCAAACAGGGAAACCAGATCCGCCTCCCTAACCACTGTGTCACCGACTTAACAATTTGCAGGGATCCATTCAACAACCGTGACAAGGAAGACTGTAAAAGCAGAATCAAAATCCTAGGGATGGAAGGGAACTTGGGAGGTCTTCTAGTCCAACCCCCTGCCCAAGGCAGGAATCCCTTATTTCTTCCCGGACAAATGCTTGTGCCAACATTTTTCTTGAAAACTTACCGTGATGGAAAACCCACAACTTGAAGGCAAGCTCTTCCATTGACTTAATCGCTATCTGGATCTCCTTCCGATCCAGCCCACTTAGTTCAGTATTTTTCCCACCCCCCGCTGGTTGATTACCTCTTCTTCCTGAGAGGATCCTGGCCCTGAAATCTTTTTTTTTTGTTTTTTTCAGTCCAGAAGTGTCAGTAGTTGAATTTCAGACTTCCTTCTGCGCTCCAGATGTTCTCTTGTGAACCACGGATATGTCCCAATCCACTGTTGAGTCAGGTTTGGGGGGCATTGCGTGAATCATTCGTTTCCAGGCTCTCTTATTTTTTTTTTTTCCACTTTGCCTTCAGTTGGAAATTGTGAAGAAAAAAATATGGGAAAAGATTGCTCTGATTATAAAGCATGTGTTTAACGAGCAAGCCCTGGCCAAGGACGGACTCTTCCTTCCCCCGCAACCCCCACGGCAATCGATCTACAGGTAGTCCTCGAGTTACGGCCACAGTTCTGCCCCAAATTTCCGTGGCTAAGCGAGACAAGCTGTGGAGTGAATTTTGCTCCACTGTACGACCTTTCTTGCCGTCATTCTTAAGTGAATCCCTGCGGTTGTTAAGTTAGAAATAGGGGTTTGTTAAGTGGATCTTGATTCCGCGTTGATGTTGCCTGTCGGAAAGCCGCCAAAGGGGGACCGCATAACCACCTGGGATGCTGCGTTCGTCATAAATATGAGTCAGCTGCCAAGCACCTGAATTTTGATCACAAGACCATGGGGATGCTGCAACGTAAGTGTGAAAAGCAGTCGTAAGTACATGCCAGTTGCCAAGCATTTGAATTTTAGTTGCATGACCATAGGGATAAGTCATTTTTTTTCCTATGCTGTTGTAACTTTGAACAGACATTAAACAAATGCTCTCTCTCTCTCTCTCCCTCCCTCCCTCCCTCCCCCTCTCTCTCTCTCTCTCTCTCTCTCTCTCTCTCTCATTTGCAGCCCTTCATCTCAAAGGCTCTCAGTTGTATTTCAGAAACCTTTTGGAACTGGTTGGCTTTCACTTTGTGAGCAGGTGAGCACCTGGGAGGGGGGAGGTTGTGGGGTTGAAGCGGGCTGGGAGGAACCTATAGGTGCCGAATGTGACTTTAATTAACCCAGTAAGTGCCAGAGGCTTCTGAGATCAAAGGGCAGGCTCCTGGCACCTGCCTTTTCCCAAACATTTCAAGACCTCCCCAACTCAAAGTCAAAAGAGAAGGCTTTGGGGAAAAAGGTGTGAGAAAGAAATCTCAGGCCACGTGCCCTGAATACGCTTGGAACACCCACTTTAAAGCACCCACCATGGTGCAAAATCTTACTTTTGAATGGTACGTTTGAATCTTTCACTCCCTTAATTATTTTTAACGTGTTTCTATAATTGGTAAGCCACCCAGAGTCGCCTTGCAGGGGAGATGGCCAGCACAGAAATGTACTAAATAACTAAATTAGTCGTAAATGAATGGAAAAAAGGGTAGCGCAGAAGGGCCCACAAGGTGTCAGCTTTGGAAGCCATATTAGCACCAGAAGCTTCCATGCTACCACATTCTTGAGCAGGGGAGGGGTGGATTTCACGGAGCGCGTGTGTGGTTAGACATCATAACATTCTTCTTTAAAGTCAAGGTCATGTTATTCCTGCACCTGGCTGAGAAGTAGTAGAGGGGAGTGTCTCAAGTTGGAACGGATGGTGATTGGGGCATGTGATGGAATGGTGGGTGCAGGGGGTGGGTTTGTAATTTTTTTTACTTACTGGAGGGAAACCCGGAACTTTCAGATTCGGGATTTCCCAGATGTGCCAGTATATTAAAAAGAAACTTTGAGAAAATGCCCGTGTCGGAGTTTTTAATGGGTTTTTCTGGAATCCCGACATTATCAGCCAGTCGTGGGATCGTTTTTGTCATTGTGCTTCTTCTTCTTTTTCTTCTTCCAGGGATATCCTGCCCTGTTTGCTCAGGATCCCCCATGTCTTTCACCTTCCAGCTGATTTAGATGCAGTTGCCACCTTGGGCCCAAGTGAGTGAGAAAACCCCACGTTCTGCTCTGGAATTTGGGGAGAGTTTGCCAAATTCGGGGGGTTGCTTAATATCTGTACTCTCCGGAATTTTTGCAACGCGGTTCGTTCCTTTGAACAAAGGCACGCAATTATCGAGAAAGTGGAAGGTTTCGTTTTGTTTGGAAAGCGATCTTGCTTTCCGCTCCAGCCTTGCTGCAGGGATTCTGGTAGAAGGGAATCTTGGTAGCTCAGGGTTGAACTGGAGAGGCCCTTGGTGCTCTCTGCGCTTGGTGGTTTTCTTGCAGACGTTTCTCTACCCAACTAAGTAACATCATCAGTGCTAGAAGGGAGTGGGGGTTTGTGGAGAGGAGGAGGAAGAGGGGAAGGAGGAAGGAGGATGAGTCTGGGGTGCTCGGAGCTCTCTGAGCTTGCAGATGTTTCATTACCCAATGCAGAGAGATGGAGGAGGAGGATGACTATGGGGTCCTTGGTGCTGTCTGAGCTTGGTGGTTTTCTTGCAGACGTTTTACTACCCAACTAAGTAACACCATCAGTGCTAGGAGGGGGTGTCATTTGTGGAGAACAGGAGGAGGAGGAGGAGGAGGAGGACTGTTGGGGGGGGGGGGGGGGCGGTCTGGTGCTCTCTGAACTTGGTTGTTTGCTTGCAGACATTTCACTACCTGACTAGGTAGCATCATCAGTGCATGAAGATGTTGCCTAGTTGGGTAATGCAACGTGTGACGTCATAGAACAGTTTTGAAGCATCCCACCAGGGTTCCTCTCCTCCATTTCCTGTTTGTTTTTCTCCTCCTCCTCCTCAGCGTTCTGGGCGATGCCTCGTAAACCGACCAACGGCCAGGCCTCAGACGACGCTGAAGCCAGCTGCATGGAACCCAACGGGGACCTGCTGAAATCCAAGCAGCTTTCGTGCTCCATCCGCGTGACGTCCGAGGACGCCGCCCTGTGCATCGTGAACCCCCTCTTTCTTTCCGTGCACAGCGACATCGAGTGGCTCGACCTGGCCCCAGGCCTCTACCACTCGAGACGCAAGCGGGGGTCCCTGCCGCTCGCCAATGGCACAGCGAGGCAAGAAGCCCCAGTTAGTCTGGAACGTCTCAAGTCTCAGGAAGAGAAAGAGAAGACGGGGAAAGGTAAGATTCGGGCAGCTCTTGGGGGGTTATCGGTATAAACGCCTCCCCTGGTTCTCCTGCTCCCTGGGAGCCTGGCTTACCAATGGAAGAGAACCTTTGTAGCTCAGAGTTGAGCAGTGGGGTCCTTGGTGCTCTCTGAGCTGGGTGGTTTCCTTGCAGACAGTTTTGTCAGGATTCCTCCAGTTACTCCAATTAAATCGTGAGCCTCGAGCCGCACTCCCAAAACTAAAAAAGATTTTATTTGAAGTTAACAATCTACGTCTGGCATTAACCTGGGCGTAGCCAACTCTGAGACACATAATTCACTGTCACCCTTGATCCTGCTTTCCCCCCCCCTTCACCTCTCTGGGTGTATCATCCAACACAAAAAGAAAAAAATAGCCAAGAGTCATCAATCATGCTCTCCAATTAGTTTGTGCCCGGCAGAAGCTTCAGTCATCGAATCAGTCTTTGAAGAAAATATGAATGGAATGTACTTTCGATTCCACACTGCCGCCTGCTCTTTGAAAACTCCCCCCCTCACCTTTCTTTCTGTTGACAACTATAAAACGTGCATACAAAATGTTTGATGAGTTGACACGTTTCATTACCAAACTAGGTACCCTCATCAGTGCTAGCAAGAGCTCTGATGGTATAATCTAGTTTGGTAATGAAACTTTTTCAAGTAAACCACCAAGTCCAGGGAGCACTAAGAACGCAGTAGTCTCCTCCTCCTCCCCCCCCCTCCACTCCACAAACCCTTCTCGTACTGAGGATGCTACCTAGTTGGGTTATGAAATGTCTGTTAGGCATCCAGAAATTGTCCACGGTAATCAATCACTCCGAGACAAGTATAATCTCCAATTGACTTATTAGAACAGCTCTGGTACGTCTATGGAGTTTCCCAAACTGAAAAGTCATTTTCAGCGCCGTTTCACAAAATCCACCTTCTCTCCTCCCACTTCTTACACTTCATTAATCACGAGAACCAATTAACTGCAGCTGGAATTTTTTAATGCGACATACGAAATTCCTC